AGGTCAAGAGATAGACACCATCCTGGCCAACATGGTGAAACCCTGTCTCTACTAAAAATACAAAAATTAGCCAGCCATGGTGGTGTGCCTGTAGTCCCAGCTACTCAGGAGGCTGAGGCAGGACAATCATTTGAACCCGGGAGGTAGAGGCTGCAGTGAGCTGAGATCGTGCCACTGCACTCCAGCCTGGTGAGAGCAATACTCCATCTCAAAAATAAATAAATAAATAATAAATAAATAAAAATATGTATATATGTATTTTTACATACATATATGTATGTATATATGTATGGAGAGGGGGGAGAGAGAGACAGAGAGAGAGACAGAGAGAGAGAGAGAGAGAGAATGGTCTTCACCCTTTCCCAGTGGTCTCTAAGTGGGGTGGACTAGAAAACCTGCAGCAGTGAAGAAGTGATGAGAAATTCTACTTCTAAGTATTTTTCTTTAAAAATGTAAAAAAATGGTTTCACTGATTTTTTTTTTCCTATAGGGATGGGGTCTCAGTCACTCTGTCATCCTGGCTGGAATGCAGTGGTGTGATCCTCCTGCCTCAGCCTCCTAAGTAGCTGGGACTATAGGCATGCACCACTGCACCTGGCATTTTTTGTAGAGACGGGTCTCACTATATATTGCCCAGGCTGGTCTCAAACTCCTGGGCTCAAATGATCCTCCTGCCTAAGCCTCCTAAGTAGCTGGGTCTACAGGCATGCACCACCACACCTGGATTTTTTTGTAGAGACGGGTCTCACTATGTTGCCCAGGCTGGTCTCAAACCCCTGGGCTCAAATGATCCTCCTGCCTCTGCCTTCCAAAGTGCTGGGACTACTGGCATGAGTCACTGTACCCTGCCAGCTTTACTGATATTTAATAGACAGACTCTGGCGTTCATGCTGGCTTGGATGTCAGCAGTCGTGACATCCTGACTTAGGAGGTGGTGCCCTGTGATGTGGGGGGTGCAAATGGGCCCTCACCACAAGTCTACTTTAAGTACCTTAGGCGTGTTGGGGTTTATGAGTTTCAGGGCATTCCTGTTGTAGTCAGTTCAAACAAAGAAACAAACAAACAAACAAACAAACAAACAAAAACAAACCCAAGACCCTTAAATAGCCAAAGCTTTACAATACTTTGCAGTGATTCGGGAAATGATCATAAATATCTTTTGTGTGGGCCAGGTGCAGTGGCTCACACCTGTAATGCCAGCACTTTGGGAGGCTGAGGAGGGTGGATCACCTGAGATCAGGAATTCAAGACCAGCCTAACATGGTGAAACCTCGTCTCTACTAAAAATACAAAAATTAGCCAGGTGTAGTGACAGGCGCCTATAATCCCAGCTACGTGGGAGGCTGAGGTGGAGGCTGCAGTGAGCCGAGATAGTGACACTGCACTCCAGCCTGGGCAACAGAGCGAGACTTCGCCTCAAAAAAAAAAAAAAAATCTTTAGTGTGATTTGGAGGTTTACAGGTTACATTTCATGACTTAGTACTTCAAAGAGTCAGAGGATTTAAGGAGAATGAACAAATTTTCTTTTGTGAAAAGTTCGAAATCTGGAGACCTTTTTTGTTTTTAGTGACAAATGACTGCAGCAGTGTGTCATCTAGCCTTTTTCTTTTAAACAGACACAATGCAATCTGTTCCTTCAAAGAAAAGGTGACAGTACACGAGAGTTACAGCTTTTCAAAACTAATCTGTACCAAGAATAGAGCATTTATAAAAACAGATGCTTGAATTTGTTTCCACAATTACGTGACTGCATTGCCAATGATGTTACAAGCGTACCATCTACGTGAACACTAAACCTGCCCACCAAAACATCTTCAACACAAGAATTGCCGCCTTCCCTGACAGCCCCTGAACACATCCCAGCCCAAATCCATCAATGGCCCTCAGATGATAGGTGAATAAAACTGAAAAACAAATACCCTGCCTGGTAACCACAGGGTTTGTGCCTTTCTCTGTATTGTGTTTTTATGTAAATGCCATTAATAACCGGGGAGTGAAATAAACAGAACTTTTTTTTTTGTTTTTGGACACAGAGTTTTGCTCTTGTTGCCCAGGCTGGAGTGCAATGGTACAATCTTGGCTCACTGCAACCTCTGCCTCCTGGGTTCAAGTGATTCTCCTGCCTCAGCCTCCCAAGAAGCTGGAATTACAGGCACCCACTACCACGCCCAGCTCCTTTTTCATTTTTTATTTGTAGTAGAGATGGGGTTTTACCATATTGGGCAGGCTGGTCTCAAACTCCTGACCTCAAGTGATCCACCTGCCTCGGCCTCCCAAAGAGCTAGGATTACAGGTATGAGGCACCTCGCCTGACCAATAAACAGAATTTAGCATCAATCTTAAATGCTTGGACTTAGGATTCAACAAGAATTTATAAATGGGATGTGGACACATGTCTTTCATCTTTAAAAAGCATGTTTACACAATAGTTTTTGTAGCATTCATACACTGGAAAAATTTAATCATGTTTATTTCACCTCTCATCCTTTTTTTTTAATCCCCTCTCTCTCTTGTAGAGACAAGATCTTGCTCTGTTTCCCAGGCTGGAGTGCAGTGGCATGATCATAGCTCACCGCACTCTTGAATTCCCAAGCTCAAATGATCCTCCCTCCTCAGCCTCCAGAGTAGCTGGGACTTCAGGTGTGTGCCACTATAACTGGCTAATTTTTTTTGGATTTTTAGTAGAGACAGGGTCTCACCATGTTTTACAGACTGGTCTCAAACTCTTGGCCTTAAGGAATCTTCCCATCTCAGCCTCCCAAAGTGCTGGGATTGCAGGTGTCAGCCACCACACTTGGCCTTTGTCCCCTTAAAACATCTATATTTGTGTATATTTCCATGTCCATAATATATCAGGACAGAAATTGTAATTTATAATACATAATATATATACACATTCACATTCATTCTTTAGCACGTGAAAAATGTCTGAGGGTTTTTTTTTTTTGAGGCACGGTCTCACTCTGTTTCCTAGGCTGAAGTAGAGTGGTGTAATCATGGCTCATTATAGCCTCATAGCCTCCATCTCCTGGTTCAAGTGATCCTCCCACCTCAGTCTCCCAAATAGCTGGGACTACGGGTGTACACCACCATGCCTGGCTAATGTTTTAATCTTTTGTAGAGATGGGGTCTTGCCATGTTGTCCAGGCTGGTCTTGAACTTGTGGCCTCAAGCGATTCTCCCGCCTTGGCCCCCCAAAGTGTTGAGATTACAGATGTGAATCACTGCACTGGCCAAGCCAACCTGTAAACTCAGTGGCCCTCGTGGGGAGGAGGCAGGAACAAATGCACAAGCCACAGCCATTGGCTGAGAGCTGGGAAGGCTGGGTTTGAGGCTGTGGCGCTGGCATCACAGGTCCCGGTGGAGACCTAGCTTGCTGGCACTCATGCTCAGCACCACAGGCTCTGCCTGGAGTTGGAGGCAGCTGCCTCCCTGGGATCACAGGCTCTGCGTTTACACTGAAGCTCTGGCAGAGGCTCGTAAGGTGTATTTTTAAGCCAGAGATGTGGTTCCAAAGGGAGCTATCAGGAGAGACTTCCACAAAATCTGTGTTGCTGCCTGCTTTCCTAACGCTTGCAGTGGCTTCAGCCCCATTCTCTGACCAGCTAGCTGTTCTGGCTCCCTAGGTGCAGGAAACGAGGTAATGAGGCAATGAAAATTCCCCCAGAGAGAGGTAACCATGAATGTTGTGTAACAGGCAAGGTAGCAAGGACCTCATTACACAGCTCCCGCAAAGGCACCTGTCTGCCTGTTGACTCCAAACCTCTCCACCACCACAAACACTATGAGTCATTCAGGGGAATGGGGTCTGCAAAACTCTCCCAGGACAGGGTCTGACATGCCTCACTCTTCCCCACAAGATGTGGGCCTGCAGTGTTTTTTCTGCCGAGATTGTCACCCGACATCCCTTTCTCTACCTGCCGAAACCTCCCCATCACTTCCCAGCCCACTTCTAGTGCCATGCCCTCTATGAAGCCTGTTTCAGGGGCTCTTTGCCTGGTCTATCTGCACAGTGGAATTTTCTGGGGCGCTTTAAGACAGAAACTGACATCTGAGGCCCATCCCTGGAGATTCTGGGCTGTTCTGGGCCCAGGCTGGCTTCAGTGATTGTAACAGGAAGCCTGGGTGAACACCTTCTGCTCTTGTTGAAGCCACCCCTCCTCCACCTCTGGTCACCTGTTGCACCTTTTCTGGACGTGTCCATATGGTACTCATCTTGTTTTATTACAGTTGCTTGTGAAAAAAGCAACTCTTTAGCTCTACCTCTAATATCCCCCAAGAGCAGGGACCATGTTCAATTCATCTTTTTTTTTGAGATGGAGTCTTGCTCTGTCGCCCAGGCTACAGGGCAGCGGTGCCATCTCAGCTCACAGTAACCTCCTCCTCCCGGGTTCAAGTGATTCTCCTGTCTCAGCCTCCTGAGTAGTTGGGATTACAGGCGTGTGCCACCATGCCCGGCTAATTTTTTATCTTTTTTGAGACAGAGTCTCGCTCTGTCACCCAGTCTGGAATGCAGTGGCACAATCTAGGCTCACTGCAACCTCCGCCTCCCAGGTTCAAGCGATTCTCCTGCCTCAGCCTCGCAAACAGCTGGCACTACAGGCGCAGGCCACCATGTCCGGCTAAATTTTTTTGTATTTTTAATAGAGACGGTTTCACCATGTTGGCCAGACTGGTCTTGAACTCCTAACCTCAAGTGATCCACCCGCCTCGGCCTCCCAAAGTGCTGGGATTACAGGCGTGAGCCACCTTGCCCGCCCTAATTTTTTATTTTTTTGATAGAGACAGGGTTTTCCCACGTTGGCCAGGCTGGTCTCCAACTCCTGACCTCAAATGATCTGCCAGCCTCCGCCTTCCAAAGTGCTGGGATTACAGCGTGAGCCACCGCACCTGGCTTCCAATTCATCTTTCAACTGTGCACAGGGCCTTCCCCATCAGGGCCATTTCCAGAGTTCCAGAATGCTTTTCCTCAACAAGACCTCACAGTCTCCGGAAGCAGGGCTGGGGAATAAATGGCAAACTAGGAATCTTACCTAGGCCCTCCCAGTTGAAACTAAGTCAAAATGGGTTCCCATGAGACTGCCTGGCTCATGCAGATGAAAGGCTAACATCTTTTCAGAAACAACTTGCACTACCCTCTCCTGTTCCAAAAGGCTGTCTGGTCAGAATGGTGGTAGGTCACCTTAGGAAGGAAAAGACGTTGTCCTGTTTGTCAGATAGAATTAGCAAAGGTTCAATTTAAAAGAACAATTCTCTAAGAAGTTAAAAATAAAGGTGCGGGGAGATTCCCATGACATCCATTTTTATCTCTTTTCCCTTTCTCTTACATTTCCCATGAGGCAAACTTTCTAAAACAGTCTTAGTCTTTTCAAGTTTACAAAAGGGAGCACCTAGACTACCTGAATAAAAATGACAGCGGTGCCCGGAAGAAGAGCGCGCCTCTCCCACGTGCACCCTGCCTGGGCTCCATGCTGTCTCCGGGTCTCAGGTACTCACTCAGCGGGGATTTCTGGAGTGCCAGGAACACAAACCCCAACAAGATCCAATCCATGCCTTCCCGGAGTGCACAGTCCAGAAAGCAACCCGGCGAACAAGTAGCAATTACCCCCTAAGGAGATGGCTTCATCCGCGCGACAGACAGACACCACAGACACCGAGGGCCTGCCCCACGCCCTTGACAGCGAGGCTGTCCCGGTCCTACTGGAGCGTGGAGCCGGCTTGGGACAGAACCAAGACACACGGGACACGATGCACACACGCGTCCTGACGGTGGGCGCCGAGAATGCGGCCCCGGCTGCTGCCGCAGGCCCCTCTGTCGGCACCAGCGGCTCCCCTTTCCCGCCCCCACACAGGGGAGGGCGCAGCAAACACCCGCCGCGGACAGTGGGCCCTGGATTCGGATTCGGTGACTCCTGGGAACAAGGAGGTGGGAGCAGGCGAAACTCCCCCCCGGGGGTCTTTGCCACCGCGCGCCAGGCGTCCCCGCGGCCGAGAAGCGGCGCCATCTCCGCAGGTGCGCGGTGGACGCCTGCGTCCCTCAGGCCCGGGGCTGTCCGGCGCTACACATCCACCTCCCGGGCGCGCAGAGGGCCCGGGCCGTGCCGAGTCCGGGCGGGGCTGAGGTTCCCCGCGCGGCGCCGGCTCAGGCACTGCCCGCAGTGCGGAACACGCCCAGGACTTCAGAGGTAGCCGGCGCTGCGGGAGCGGCACGGGCAGGGAGCGCCGCGGGCCGAGGCCGCGTCGGGAGGGGCGGGCGCGGCCGGCGGGATTGCAGGGTCGCGGGAGGGGTCCGCAGGCCAGGCGGGAGCTGGGAGCGGCCAGAGCCGGCCGGCGATGGTGGGAGAGCGGACCCATGTGGGGACCGCAAGCCCCGGGAACGAGCGCGCGAGCGGCGGGTCCCGGCGGCACTCACCGAGCCTGGGCGCCGGGGCGGCGGCGGCCGGTGCGCTGCCTTCTCGCGGGGTCCCCTCCCTTGGCCACCCGGGCTCCGCTCCAGCCTAGCAGGGGCGGCGGCACTGACAGCTGCGTGGCCGCCCTGGAGGGGAGGGGGTGCTTGCTACCCACGACTGGCGGACGCACTGGCCGCGACGGCTCCTGCAGGGGGCGCGGCGGCTCGCGCGTGCGCAGTCGGTCGCCCCTGCAGGTGCCCGGTCCACCCCCGGCCGCCTCGGCCGCTCCGGCCAGCCCAACCCCGCGCCTGCGCAGTGCCTTGTGCATGTCGTCCGTGCCCGGCAGAGGGCGCGCTGGCTTGCGCGTGCGTAGTCGGCCACCTTGCGGGTACGCGGCTCGCACCTGGCCACTTGGCAGCCCGCGCCTGCGCACTGCCTGCGCCAGCGCCTATGTCCGGCAGGGGGCGCGTAGCGGCGGTAGCCGAGCGGGCGGGGGCGGCGGCCTCTCAGGAATGACGGCGCACGTGCGTTTCCGAACGGTGAAGGGCTTCACATCCGGAAATTCGACTTTGGCGGTTTTTCCATTTCCCCTTACGCACTGTCTTATCTTGGGCTCTCGTCATTCGTGGCACCGAGGGAAGCGCTTCTTCGCCTCTGGCCAGGCGCTGCGGCTCGACAGAAGGCGAGAAGGTAGCGAGGAACCTTCTGGAATTCAGCCGTCGGGACCAGCGTCGAGTTTGCAGGAGAAGGCAGGGTGTCACGGGATGAGCGGAGTCACCCTCAGTTAAGGAGCGAGGGAGGCCTCGCGGGTCCTCAGCCGGGTAGGAGTCTCCTCAGGCTGGAGGAGATCGGACCTTGTCAGGGTCACCTGGAGGGAAGGTCCAGGGAGGGTTGGGGTCACCTGAGGCGAGGGTTGTAGAGAGGGTCAGGGTCACGACCTTGGGGGAGGGTGAGGTCACCTGGGAGGAGGGTCCCAGAAGAGTCGGGGGTCACCTGGGGGGAGGGTCTGGGAGGGTCGGGGTCACCTGAGGGGAGGGTCCTGGGGAGGGTGAGGTCACCTGGGAGGAGGGTCCCAGAAGGTTCAGGGTCACCTGGGGGGAGGTTCTGGGAGGGTCAGGGTCACCTGAAGGGAGGGTCCCGGGGAGGGTGAGGTCACCTGGGGGGAGGGTCCCGGAAGGGTCGGGGCCACCTCAGGGGAGGGTCTGGGGACGGTGGGGTCACCTGAGGCAAGGGTTCTGGGGAGGGTCGGGGTCACCTGAGGGGAGGGTCCTGGTGAGGGTGAGGTCACCTGAGGCGAGGGTCCCAAAAGGGTCGGGGTCACCTGTGGGGAGGGTCCCAGGGAGAGTGAGGTCACCTGGGGGAGTGGGTCCCGGGAGGGTAGGGGTCACCTGAGGGGAGGGTCGGGGTCACCTGTGGGGAGGATCTGGGGAAGGTTGGGGTCACCTGGAGAGAGGGTCCCAGGAGGGTCGGGGTCACCTGGAGGAGGCCAAAATCATTTGTTCAGTGGAGTCACAGAGGCCTAGCTTCAGATGTTGACCCACCAATTAATGTAGACGTGTCATTTTACCTTTCTGAATTCAATTTTCTATCCCTAAAATTGAAGTTATAATAATAGTAATAATGTCAGAAAACGCTAAGGTTTTTTGTTGATGTAGTCTTTTCTTTTGCGGGTCAAATGAGAAAATGCATGTTTAAGTGCTTACTACAATACCTGACCCAGAAATGCCAAGTAAATGGTAGTGTAATGTGAGTATGACTAGAGATTTATATAGCCCAGTCTCTGTAATAAGCATACAGGAAAAAAAACAGAAAACCCCAAACAACTGATTGCAGTTATAGGGTGGGTGGAGGGGTGGGTTATTAATGTGCTACAAACATCCTAAAAATTCTACTTTCCCCATCAGTCTTCATAGAGTGCAACACCCCAACCAAAATATCTTCCCCATTCTCTACTTCCTCCCAGAAAACGATGTGAACTTGGCTGCTTAGCCATTCTCTTCATCTGGTCATGTCCTCAATCACTTTTCTTTGCAAAACCAATCCTTGCCATTTCCAAATTGAATTCATTAGACCTTGCACGTTTTTCTGGCCGTTTCAAAACCTGATCTGAGTTCTCTGTAACCAAATCTAGTACCACAAATGGCCGACTCAGAACTTAGCTGCAAGATAAGGGTGGGAGTATGGAAAGGATGACCTCACAGATCAAGACTGATAATTGCAGACTACTAATTTTATATCTTTTTTCTAAACACTGTCAGGTTAATTTTAGTTATTATAATCACAATCATGAGGTGGGAGGGTGTGAAGGCCACTGGCAAAGTGTCTTAGGCACAAAAATTTCAGGCTCTGGACTGCTTAAAACCCGTAGCCCACAATGAGCTGGACCCTTTTGATGCCCTTCAGCAATCACTGGGTAATTCATCACATTGTGCTCAAGGCCCACTACTAAAAAAATAAAACAAACCTAGATGCTCCATCTAATCATTTCTCTCCAGATGGAGGCCCAGATAAGGTTTGTTATAATTCTTTAAAGTCATAATTTTTCATAATTTGTTCAAAGTCACCCAGTAGAGGTGAGATGACAACCTCCATATTCAGGCTCCTGGACTCTACCCCTCTCTGGTATGGAAACACTTACATCCATATACCATGAATACATGCTGAGAAATTGAAGGATACATTCCTGGAAGTTACCATGGCTCAAACATTTCTTTATTTTCTCCCAAGATTGTTGGTAAACATTATAGTGGATGGGACACTCATAAACAAATCTTACAGCTTCACAAAAAGCAGTAAATCTAGCGTTACACTCATTGGTTGATACATATGATTAAGCCAAAAAGTCAGCTCTGAATTCTTTTGAAGGGGTACAAATACTGTATTCTATCTACCTACTTATCTATCTATCTATGTAATTTATCGTACAGCAGTACCCAAATTGCTAATATCCAATGCAGAATCTTAGAATAGGGCTTGATTGTTTCCCTGGGAATGATGTTATAATTCAGAGATGCATTGTAGACCAAGGACTGTACACATATTCCTTCATTCAGTGATTGGGAGGCATTACGTTGTCATGGTTAAAACTGGACTCTGACCACATGCCTCAGATTAAATTCCAGCTCTCAGTGTCTTTAGGCAAATTACAGAACCTTTCTGTGCTTTGGTTTCCTCGTGTAAAATGAGGATCATATAACAATTCCTCAATGAATTGTTGTGAGGATGATTAGATGCCCTAAAAAGTGTAGAGTACAGGACTTAGAAAAGTGCTTGGCACTCAGCAAGGGCTCAATAAGTGATCTAAGCTTTACACTGTATGCTTTGGAAACAGACAAATGAAACTTATGTGTTTTGCAGGATCTTAGAAAACAGAGTTGCTTAATTTGATTTAGTTTTCACTGTGTGCTTACTATATGCTAGATGAAACTTGCAGTAAAAATATGAATAAGCCACCATCTATAACAGAATTCAGAGTGCCTGACAGTATGTTTTTAGAAGCAAAGATACAGCAATTGAAGACAATACAGATTATGAGTTGCACAGAATGGGCATTAATGCATTGAATATCTCAATTATTCAGGGGTTTCCTTTGTCCTATCAAATACTATAGGAACTACAAGTAAACTGTTTCCTAACTATGTTTGTCTAAACCAAATCACTTGCTTTAAAATAGTTATGTTGCTTAGGTTTTAAACATTTAGAAATTTGGGGGAGTTTTTTTTGTTTGTTTGTTTTTTGTTTTGAGACGGAGTTTCGTTCTTGTTGCCCAGGTTGGAGTGCAATGGCGTGATCTCAACTCACTGCAACCTCCGCCTCCTGGATTCAACCAGTTCTCCTGCCTCAGCCTCCTGAGTAGGTGGGATTACAGGCATGCACCACCACGCCCGGCTAATTTTGTATTTTTAGTAGGGATGGAGTTTCTCCATGTTGGTCAGGCTGGTCTCAAACTCCTGACCTCAGGTGATCTGCTCGTCTTGGCCTCCTAAAGTGCTGGGATTATAGGTGTGAGCCACCGTGCCCAGCTGGGGAGATGATTTTTATGGACGATTTACATGCTCTCAAATTAAATTTAAATGTAACAAGTGTTATATGAATATATTCTTGTTGAGAAATTCAAACTAATAGGCAAACCAGAGTTCTTTGTAACCACCATCCTCTTCCCTGATTTCCTCTCCATGGTCATAGGTTTGGTAAATATACTTCTTAACATTTTTCAATGTGTTTGCACACATATATAGATTAGCTTATACATGTATAGCATTATTTTATGATTTTTCCATAAATGATTTCTACAGACATTCTTCAGTTTTCTTTTCAGAAATGAAAACTAGACATTTGACATTTGAACCTCTCTCCTGTGTTTGGAAAAATCTCCACTGAATGTGTATTGGAGGAAGGTGGGGTCTAGGCTCAATGGAACAGGTGCTTTTGCAAATGTATTACAGGTGATTTCCCCAGGTTGTCTGTCAGCTTTTTACGTTTTTTTCAAAGAAAAGTTGTTTTTTAAATGTAATCAGATTTGTTATTCTGTTTCTTTATAGTTTCCAGATTGTAGGTCCTGCCTATGTAAAAAAAATCCCAGCCGGGCCTGGTGGCTCATGCCTGTAATCCCAGCACTTTGGGATTATGGGCGGGTCACCTGAGGTTGGGAGTTTGAGATCCAGCCTAACCAACATGGAGAAACCCCATCTCTACTAAAATTACAAAATTAACTGGGTATGGTGGTGCATGCCTATTATCCCAGTTACTCAGGAGGCTGAGGCAGGAGAATTGTGACATTGCTCTTCGGCCTGGGCAACAAGAGCGAAACTCCTTCTCAGAAAAAAAAAGAAAAAAAAAAAAAAAAAAATAATTTTTTTAAGAATATAAAAGTGCTTTTATATTTAACTTTTATATATTTAAACCTTTATCTTCCTGGGGCTTATTTTGCTGGAGTGAGCTAGCCATTTTTCTTAACACTTTAAAATATTAATTATTGCTGATAAAGGCATACCCAAAAGAAAACAAAAGAAAAAATATATTAATTATTAAATTCTCAGCTTACATACAGTAAAATTCACTCCTTCTGGTTATAATTCTATGAATCTTTGTTGTTGTTTGGAGACGGAGTCTTACTGTCACCCAGGCTGGAGTGCAGTGGCGGGATCTTGGGTCTCTGTAACCTCCGCCTCCTGGATTCCAGCCTCAGCCTCACAAGTATCTGGGACTTTAGGTGCACACCACCACACCTAGTTAATTTTTGTATTGTTAGTACAGATGGGGTTTTGCCATGTTGGTCAGGCTGGTCTTGAACTCCTGGCCTCATGTGATCCACCTGCCTCCGCCTCCCAAAGTGCTGGGATTACAAGTGTGAGCCATTGTGCCCAGCCGTAATTCTTTTTTCTTTCTTACATGAATAATGGAAGCACTGGTTTGTACCAGCCATAATTCTATGAATTTTGGCAAATGTACAGATTTGTGTAATTACCACCACAACCAAATTAAGACATCATTCTCCCAAATTTCCTCATGATGTCCCTTTTCTAGTTAATTCTTCTTACCTACCTGCTGGTAAGCACTGATTTTGTTCACTCTTCTTATTGTTGTCTTTTCCAGAATGTCATATAAATGAAATCATACAGTGTATAGAGTCTGAGTCTTGCTTCTTTTACTTAATACATTTGAGATTTGTGCATGTCAATTATATCAATAGTTCTTTTTTTTTTTTTTTTTTTTTTGAGATGGGATCTTGCTCTGCCACTCAGGTTGGAGTGCAGTGGCACAATCTCAGCTCACTGCAACCTCCGTCTTCCAGGTTCAAGTGATTCTTCTGTCTCAGCCT